CGAGTTATATTGGGACTGACGTTTCGGACACTCTCTTGTTTCCATCGTCAGATTAAAGTGGCAGTTGTTCCTGCTTGCCGGGACTGTTTCAGCCCTGCTGCTGAGATTTTCTGGCAGGGCCAGTAACCTCCATCCATAGTTGTACAGATATTTTATTAATTATCAACCTAGCATGCAGCTTTTATCATAAAGGCAGAACAATAGGGTAAAATTAAGATAAATGGGGAAATTTTTACCCTAGTTTCCGCACATGAGTTTTACTGGGCTGGATTTCACGCGATCAAAGAAAATTTTGTTTGTGTTTGGTTTGTGACTGGGCGTAGTTCCTTTTTATTCTTTAACTTGGCAATAATGAAGTGGTTTGACGGAAAACTCTCTGATTGCATAAAAGATGTCAAAATTAACAGACATCTTCTGTTCGTCTTCTCCAAAGGTATGTTTAGCACATTGTATTATTCCTATGTACCCACGTTCGTATTTGTACATGTGTTGTCACCTTGTTTCTTTTATCCATAAGACGAGTCATCTCCATCATCTGATTCCGTTTTGGAGACCCTGAATGAAGTTTGGCCAGAGGAAATATGCAATGACACCAATTGTAAGTCAATATTTTCTATTTATAAAAAATAAAATTTGATTTTTCATTATTTCATTGGTCATGTGCCTGTTAAGTTTTCTGTCGGCTCTTACATTTCTATATGCTGACAGTGCCCTGTCTAGACGCGACGACATTTTCTTTAGTTTTTTGGTTTCTGGAGGGTTAATAACATGTAACATGTGCTTGTTCCGACAGTTAGTTACTTAGAGTGGAATGCTTCTGAGGCAAGAGAAACCAGCAACGAATAAGCGGATGAATGATTATTTGGAATAAGGCTAGAGCTGCGGCAGTTGCGTGGTGTAGATTAGAGCTACGGTCATTTGTGTGTATTTAGTTGATTTACGATTACGTTTGCGTTAAAGATTTTAGTTGACCTTGGGGTTGGGGTCAGAGTAGTGTTTATATTTGCGTTGGAATTCGCTTTAAATATTAGACTTGGATTTAGGTATCATTTTGGGGGTTAGGCTATGCTGCCATGCTACACATTCACAGTGGCGCTTGTACTGCTGCGTAGCCACATGC